ACCACCACCACCATCACCACCACCATCATCATCACTACAATCACCACCATCACCACCACCACTACAATCACCACCATCACCACCATCACTACCACCACCATCACCATCATCACCACCACCACCATCATCACTACAATCACCACCATCCCACCATCACCATCATCACCACCACCACCACCATCACCATCATCACCACCACCACCATCATCACCACCACCACCATCACTACAATCACCATCACTACCATCACCATCACCACCACCACCACCATCATCATCATCACAATCACCACCATCACCATCATCATCACCACCACCATCATCACCACCACCATCACCACCATCACCACCACCACAATCACTATCATCACCACCACCACCACCATCATCATCACCACAATCACCATCACCATTATCATCACCACCATCACCATTATCATCACCACCATCACCATCATCACCACTCTGTCATAGCCACCATCATCATCACCACCACAATCACCATCACCACCACCATCACCACCATGATCATCATCACCACCACCATCACCATTATCATCACCACCATCACCACCATCACCACAACAATCACCACCATCACTACAATCACCACCACCATCACCACCACCATCACCGCTATCACAGCCATCACCACCACCATCACCACCAACACAGCCACCATCATTCCATCACAGCCATGACCACCATCTTCACTCTATGATAATCATCACCCTCACTCCATCATCACTATTACTGCCATCATCACCACCATCATCATCATGTTGGGTTTATAGGCTGTTACATATTGACATTAATGACATTCATTGAGCAATGATGTCCCTGCTAGAAAGTTTTCCTAATAACTACGTCCAACCCTCACAACAGTCACATGGGTAGGTGTTACTAATGCTCCCATTTTATAGATGAGGACCCTGAGGTTATGAGAGGTTCTCACTCCCTCTTGCACCATACCAGAAGGGCAGAGTTGGGCCGTGAGTATGTCTGTCCTGAATTCTTCCTTCTTCCTGCAAAGGTGTGCTTGGAAAGAGCGTGGGGACAGACACACTCCCAATCCAGCTGTATCCCTCTGGCACAAGTTGAGGCAAAGCAACTGAACCTCTATTCATCGGTCTAATCTGAGAATGGACTCAACAAGCCCAGGCCACTTGCACCCAACAACACAGCAAGCAAGGAGGTGTAAGCTTCCAAATTCCAACACCCAACTGAACTCATCCACCCAATCACTCCGGCCTTGCAGGCCTGGGAAACCTAACCTGTACCCAGCCCCACCCGAGCGCTTCCTACCTGATTGGTGGGCATCGTAGGCCACATACCCCAATGGCAAGGCTGCTGGAGAAAAAGACAAGCAAATTCAGACTGGCCCAGTGCTCTGTCCAGAGAACCCACCCAAATGCTCCCTCTCTAGAAGTTTCTTAAAAAGCCACACATGCGTGCTCTGGGGGCCTCACCACAGACTTCCGCCGAGCCTGTGTCCCTCCCATTGTGGCACCCGTGTTTCATAAACACAGAACCCAGGTCACCACCAGACCAGGACAAAGGAGGAGACTTCCTCTAAGCTGTGGGATTTGTCGCCACATCTCAGGGTGACGCTGTGGGCCGCGTTTCCTCCCCCCCCCCAAGGCCTGCTCCTAAAACACCACTGGACTGCATGCCCACCATCCAGGGCTGTGCCCAGGGCATCTAGGGTCCCGGCCAGCTCTCCTGAGGGGCCTTCCACAGCAGACAGACTGGGGGTCTCCCTGGGCTCCGTGCTTGGCTTGGTATCCTCAGCCTGCAGCCTTGGAGGCCTGTGGGCCAGCTGTCACCTCTTAGTCTCCCCACAGGGGTGAAGGGAATGAGGGCAAGGGAAGAAGTGAGGGTGCTCATGGGCTGGAGAACCAGAGCCGGGGGGGCCATTCCAAACAGCAGGGTCTGGACATAGCCATCCAGAAGGAAGACTGGGCAATCTACCTCCAGAGAGATACCACCTCGGAAACCCAAGGAAGGGGCACTATGAGTTGGAACAGACGTGATGACATTAGAGGCTGATAAACAGGTGACACACCTACTGTGTGCTCTGAGATGCCTCATTTAACCTCATACCCCACGGTGCAGGTCCAAGAGTCTCCATTTCATAGATGAGTAAACTGAGGCCTGAATAAATTCCACAACTTGCCAGGACTCTAACCCCCATCTCGGGGCAATTTTCCTATTCCCAACCCAAGCTCTGCTCCCTGCAGGCACTGGGCTGGCTTTGGCTTTGAGAGGCCTTCACGTTGGGAACAGGCTGGCTGAGCCTCGGGGCGGGCAAGAGTGTGACCCAGAGGCACGTCTTCCTCTAGTCTTGGAAGAGTTTGCTGCATACCTCCGGCCCACCTTCCCAGGGTCGTGGGGGAAGCAGACCCATTTCTCATCAGACTGACAGCAGTGCACGCCCTCCTAGGGGCAGTGGAGAGGGGGTAGAGGGCCCTCGTGGTCAGAATCCCATTCCACTGAACCACCCTGTGCCCAGGGGCATGCGTCTTCAGCACTCTGGGGGTCTGTCACCTTCAATAAAACAGCCATCGCAATAACTGCAAATCCCCACCCCCAGATGCACTAAGGATGAAACGCAACCAGGAGTCACAGACACTGACCTGGGCTGGCTGGCTGCGCCCACCACTCCGGGAGCAGCTGGCTCCTGCAGGCCTCCGGGGAAGGACTCCTTTTGACCACGCCCATGTAATCGTCCACAGAAGGCTGGGGGATGTGGGGGAGAAAGACAGGCCTGTCAGGGAACTTCCAGCCCTGCTAAAAGTGAATGCTTTACTGTCAACCAGGAGCTCCGGTGCCTCAGGGCTTAAAGCATTCAGCTGCTAACTGAAAGGTCAGCTGTTTGACCCCCACCGGCTGCCCCATGGGAGAAATATGTGATGTGCCAGCTGCTTTGGTAAAGATTAGGACCTTGGAAACCCTGCAGGGCAATTCCACTCTGTCCTGAGTCAGATCGAGAGCAGGACGCTAGGTTTTACCTTTAATTATAGACACATTATCACCTTCTATTTTATGAGAAAAGGAAAGCCTTACTTTACAACTTGAGTGACTCTAGACTGTGAACTCACAGGCATTGGATCAAACCATGGCCGACTAACAGCCTCTCTAGGGCCATTAACAAGTTTACTGGCCTCTCCAAGGCACTGGCTGTTGCAGAACTCAATGTGCCAGGTGACCCAGCTGCAGAGGCACATGAGATCTGGGACCCGAATGAACGGCACCGAGCAAAATCCTCCTGTGCCCGTGAATCCTGCTGAAGAGCTGAGCGCAGATGCTCAGCCTCTGACCCCCTCCCTAAAGGAGGCTGATAACCAATTAGGAAACGTTTTGAAATCTGATTTCTCGTGACCTCGGTGTGGCAACCCAGTTATCTCTCCTCTCAGCTGAGTTGGCAGAAAGGCCTTGCATGGAAAACAGCACATTGCTGGATAGACTGGGAGCTAGGAATTCCCTCGATCTGCCACCCGTCAGCTGCAGAGAGGGGACCCACTTAGAGCAGGCTGAAGTGCTACAGCTTCTCCGACAGTGACGCTGCTCCTGGGGATGCTGCCATTGCGACGTCGCTGGCAAGAAGCATGGATCCTGCACCCATGCCATCTTTTGCAAGGGTGGTGTGGGATTATTTTAGTGATGCAATGCCCACCTTTTAATAGCCATGCAAAACACCACTAAAGAAACCAGAGGCAGAGGAAACCACAGCCAAGTCTCCACAGTTAGTATCCAAACCTCATGAGTCTCACCTAAAGAGACCCCACCAAGCCTCTGCTTAGGGCCTACTAACTAGGAGTTTATGTACATTACTAACGCGCTGAGCTGGCCAGTCTTCAACCCATCAGAGCAGCACCTGCATATGAAAGACGGGCACCCAAGAGTCACGAAGCTAGTCCATAATCCTTTCATAATGACAACCAAGCACCAAGGCAAGTTTCAAGTGTGCTGGCTGCAGCCTGCCTAAGGCAGCAAGGGAGTACACAGCGCACTGGGAAAGGTTTTCAGGGAAAACGTTTACAACATGACAAGATTAGAACACCAGGAGACGTCCCTCACGCAGAGCAGACAGCTCATCCTCAGCCCTCAGGGACAAAGGGCTATCACGAGATTGCAGCATCCGGGTAGCACAAACCAGACGTTCTTGGATGCTACCTGAAGGCCGGAGAGTCGAGTCCATCCAGAGGCACCTTGGAAGAAAGGCCTGGCCAGCCGCTTCTGAAAAGTCAGTGCTATGAACCCCACAGAACGCGGCTTTGCTCTGACGTACGTGGGGCGCCACAGGCCAGAGTCAACCCAACAGCAACTGGTCAACGGTGATTATGTGACAGTGTGGCCTAGTGGGCAGTGCTGCATCAAGGGGTCTCGTGGTCCGTAGGTCTCATCAAACCAGCACCAGCTGCCATGGAGTCAATGTCGACTGACGGCGCCAACGTGCGAATCAGAGCAGAACTGCGCACCATGGGGTTTTCAGCAGCTGACTCTCAGGAGATACCAGGCCTTTCCACCGGGCCCCTCGGGGTAGACTTAAACCGCCAACCTGTCAGTCAGCAGCTGACTGTGTTTGCCGTTTGTGCCACCCAGGAATCTCCATCAGAGGGGCACTTCCAGGGAGAGCATGCCACGCAACCCCTTCAAGCAGCCAAGACCCTGCAGAACACTCCCCCACTCACCTCCTTAATCAGGTCGTCGATTTCCGAGCGCCCACATTCCATCTCCGTGACCTCATTCATGCAGCCGGGGGCCACCATGCCTAATTTACCTAAGGAAATGCAAACAGAAATGTCACTAGACGTGGCACTGAGGCACCGTGTCCATGGCTGAGGCCATGGTCACCGCTGGCTGTTAATGCTGTGCTCAGGGAAACAGAAGTTCCAGTGTCCTCGGTTTGGGAACAACAAAGAAATCTTTTCCCACGCGCAGTCATCTGATCAGCAAATTCAAAAGAGAGAAGTTGGTTGCTGTTTTCTCTCCCTAAGACTTAAAAGATAAAGCAAGCACTTTGGTCTCTTGCTTCTGTTTGCTAAGATCTAAAACAAATCAACACAAACACACTCTGTAGGTGTCTACCACTCTACAAAGGGTTAAACTCATAAGCTGGGGGCATGTGAAGACACTCAAAGGTTTCCTGGCAAAACGTGTTTGCAGGTTGGGGTCTTTTTTTTACATCTAGTGGGCAGGAAGTCTCCTCTGGGCCTTTCCAAATATACACATGTGTCTGTGTAAATGCACACACAGCCCACAGGAAGGGCATAAACACTCACTGTACTCAGCTGGAACCAGCCTTGCTCAGGAACCGTCCAGCGGGGTCAGGGACACGCACCTAGCCCCTCTTCCCTGAAGGAGAGCTGGCTCTCTCCTGTCTTCCCCGGTGAGAACTCTGCCTTGCTGAGTCTCTCGGTGTGAGACGCGTCCTCCCATCCAGCCCTGACCAATCCTTGGAGTTTATTAGCCCTGATGATTTGCCCACGTTGGTGGTGGCTGCCAGTGGCCCTGGACTTGCTCGCCACTCCTGGCCACTCACGTGTGCAGAGCACAGCTGTCCACAGTCTTTCCGAGGCTGTGAACTTTCAGAAGCACGGTGCCAGGCCTGCCTGCTGAGGTGTCTCTGGGTGGGGTCCAGCCTCTAATACCACGCACTTGGTCTGTGCCACCCAGGGACTCCTTACCCACAGTGAATCCTGACCAAACTGGGATTTGATTTCGCTTGGTTCATCAGTTCTCTTAGAAACTGTAGATGGGAGGGTAGGGGCAGTGGGGGACCCTCTGTAGCTTGCAAACCAGCGAAGTACACAGGCAAATGGCCCGTTTAGACATTATGCAAATGCAGCATTTCTTGGCCCTGAGAACCTGCCTGGTTCTTCTTTAACACCCACCCTTGCAGGTGATGCGGGCTGCACCCCACACTATAAACAAGCTGGGGTCCCCTGCCAGTTCAAGCTCGGCTGACTCGGGGGGCGGGGCACCTGGAGCTGTTTGTCCCCTTGGAAACACTGCGGAGCTGTGGGTGGGGCTGAGAGCAAACTTCCCCCTCCTTCCAACCCCAGTTGATTTTATGACAAGATTATCCAGAACATGGAAGTGAGGCAGAAAGAGGACTGCCTGGCCTTCCCAAACCACCCAGAGGAACGCTGAGCTTCTGTTAAGGATGATGGAAAAATCCAGAAGTGGATAATGGTGATGATTGGACAGTCTGATAAAAGTTAGTAATGTCACTGAATTGTACAGGTGAAGAATGTTGAAATGCAAGTGTTTTGTTACATAAGTATTTATCACAGTCCAAAAGGGTCACCCCTTAAGGGTCACCCAGTTTTCCAAGGGAAGGGCAGTTTCTGGGACGAACTGTTGACTATTGATTAGGGTTCAGCACAGCAAGGTCAGACACTCATTTTCAAACTGTCAAGCTACAAACGGCCAGTAGGAGAGAGGATCCGCACCCCAACGGCGGCTGCACTGCCCAGTAGGACACTCGCCGCTTTGGTCTCTGACTTGCTGGGTCTCCGCCTATCACTGACCACATGCTCGGTGCCTCAAGCCCCTGTCCACCATGCTTTGTCGCCAGACTCGTTCCCTCATCAACAATTTAAACAACTGCCCCAGCTCATGAGCCCTCACTTTTACCGTAAATTACACGCAGACACTTCAACACCCAAACTCAGAACTTTCTGCACAGTCCTACGCAACTTTCTGGGCCCCAGCTCTTTCCCAAGAAGGCCTGGTAGTGCACTGATTGAACTGCAGCAGAGCTGTGCTGGAGCCCGGCCTTCAGTCCCCACCCCTTTCTCCAGCCCCTGTGTCCTCTCACGCAACTGGACGCGGCCACTTGGACAGCAGCTGGTGTGAGAGGTCACACGAAAGAGCACGCAATCTGCTTTGCACAGGCAAGAATGACTTCGTCTCACTAAAGCTGCTTGCTCGGCCTGGGCAGTGACCTCCACCCTGCCCCACTCCCCGGCAGCTCGGTGCCCACAGGGATGGTTACATTTCTGCTCCTCCTCGGGGACGATCCGGTAAACTTTGTACGGCTCAGAGATGTCCAGCTGCGACCGCTCTGTCACTTCCTCAAAATCTGGGCTCTTGTTCAACGCACAACGTAACCTTGTCTTCCAAGTAGCTGGTTCAGCTTTGTCCCCTTCCTTAAACTTCCCTTTAAAAACTGCCCATGCCTGAAGGGACAAAAAGCAGAGCATTAAACACGCAGCCGAGCCCACCCCACCCCACCCCAATTACCCGCCACGGCAGCCAAGTCTTCACAGTCTTTCTTGGCCATTCTACCTGTCTCAGTCAAGGAATTCGACTCAAACGGACCCCATCAAACCATTTTCTTTAACTCTGTGGAAAGGCTCAGAAAGAGGACAGGAACCCCCACTGTGCATGGAGCCGGGATCCAACCCAAACCCAGGCTCCTCCCACACCCCTGGATGCCTCTCCACGAAGTCCACCCCAGACGGAAGGACCTAGAGAAGTCTGAGGTTGAGGAGTGCAAAAAGAGACTTGCCCATGTCTTCACTAGAATTTTTCAAAACAAAGAACAATTTGCTGTGTTTCAATTCAACTCCTAGCTAAAACTGAGCATGAAAACGCAACACCACACTGAAAGTCTGAATATGGTCATCCAGGGCCCGCCGACATTTAATAGAAATTTGTTTTGCATTTTGACAATGATTATAGCTTCCTTCCCTCAGGACAGTTTCAAATGCAATGAAATGTCTTCCCTTTGTTGGGTTGTTTTTTTTTTTTTTTTAAATAGCTGCCTTCCCACCTCTCTAAACCTTGGCAGCTGACCTGGGACCAGAAAGTCAAAGCTGGAGAGTTGTGGAACGGGTGCTATTAAATGGGAAGGGCGCACGCATGTGCCTGCGCGTGCACATGTGTGTGTGTGAGTGTGTATGTCAGGATTTCAACATTAAAACACACACATACCGATTAGAAGGCTGCTGCTGTCAAGAGCAAGGAAACTTTTGGTTTTAGGTGAAGCCCTTTTATCTGACAATTATCCCCAGGACGTTGGGAGATACTTTGACTTTGAACCCGAGAAAACCTCCTCCTGGCCGCGTTTCATCCCAACACTGGAGACCCGCGTGGACACACATGCGGTGACTGAAAGAATTCCAGAACTGGAGGAAATTCTCAACAGCACCCAGGAAACACACCTCTAAGAGATCAGGGACATCCTCAAGGACGCCCAGCCTGGGGAAGAACCAGCTGCAGCTCTGACTGTCCTCAGGGGCTGCAGTTCTCAGGCTGGAGTCGGAGAGCAGGTCCCTGGGAAGCTGGGGAAAATGCAGATTCCTCGGCCTCGCCCCTCCAGAGTCTAAGCCACAGGGGCGGCTAGGGCCCGGGGAGCTGCATCTTCAGCCAGCCTCCCAGGGTGATTCGGGAGGCCAGGAGGCTGCACTTGCAGAAAGCCCACAATGCCCCTGGGAGTCACAGCTCCATCTAAAACATCACCGGGTTTCCCCAAAATCAGACAAGGACGGCCCCAGTTCAAGGTCAGTGCCACGTACTGGTCCCTGCTCTGAGCTCCAACTCTGCACCTGTGCCACACTGAAGAACCTGGCTGGACGTCCCCGCGCCTGGGCACAGGTAGAGCTTTCCTTCTCCAGCCCAGACGCACGGCTGCCCATCCGAAATGCTCCCAGAACCAAAAGGTCCGCGATTCTTCTGGCCTCCACTAACTGCATCGCTGACCATGCATTGACTTGTTTTTCTCAAAAAAACAAGCACAAAGCATGTTCCAACTGAGCGATTTTGTTACTTAAACCAGGGTTTGCTCAACTGTTGACACTTGGGCCGGGCATCCTGGGTAGACAGGCCTATGCACCAGGGTGTTTAGCAGCAACCCTGGCCTCTACCTGCTGGATGCCAGAAGCATGATGACATCCAAAGGTGTTCCCAGGCCCCACCAGCCTCCACGACAAGGCTGGCCTCCCTGACTCACACCCAGAATAGAAATGGAGAGCTTGCGGGAAACCCGCACTTGTGCCGCCAGAGTGCCCTGGGGAAGCAAACTGCTGCCCCACCCTCCCCCATGCCCACTGGAGGACCATCAGTTTACTCCATATTACAACTCACTGCCGTCGAGTCAGATCAGACTCACAGCAAACCCTCCTTGGGTTTCCGAGGCAGATCGCCCAACCAACCTTCCTTCCGAGGAGAGACCTCAAAAAGGATGGATTTTCTGGCAGTGTCATTCCAAAAAAACAAGCCCACTGCCAACAAGTTGATTCCAACTCATAGCAAACCTCCAGGACAAAGCAGAACTGCCCGACAAGGTTTCCAAGGCTGTAAATCTTAAAGGAAACAGACAGCCTCGTCCTTCTCCCATGGAGCATCTGGTGGGTTTGAACCACCAACCTTTTAGTTAGCAGCCAAGTACTTAACACTATGCCACTAGGGCTCCTTGGTAGCGTCATTACCAGTTGGCAATTACCCAGTCCAAGGCTCTGCCAGACCCTTTTGCTCACTGACTGCCCCCACTCACCCCAAGAAAAACAAGGAAATACCCAGAATCAAAACAGAGGCTACATGGCCAGGGTGGTGCCCAGTGACAGTGCAGTGCAGCTGGCCCTACGCTCTTTGCTGCACAGTCTCTCGTGACCCTTCTAGATCCCAAAGCAGTCCAAAGCCAGAGTGACTCCAAGGCGTCCGTCCCGCAGCACATCTCTTCCACCAAAGCTCTGCTCTGCACCAATCAGCTACCAGCACTGGACACGGCCAGAACTCGTCCTAACGCAACACGACCGCTTCCTCTGCTGTTTTAACAACCATGCACCGTGTTCTTTTCCTGGAAGGCCTGATAGATTTTAAACTCTGTGCAACTGAGCGAGTTTTCACTCGTTCCGGCCCACTGACTAAGGCGGTCAAAGCGAGGCCAGGGGTGTACAGCTCTCACCTACACAGGCTCGCTGGTTTCTTTCTTTCCCCTCACCTTGATGAAAAGGAGGCAAAATACTTCTGAAACGTGCACTCAAGCCAGTACCAGCGCTCATCAGTTTACTCAGGACTGGTGCCTCTCAGTCTCCCACTGGTGCATCAATACCAGGAGGCTGACCTCACCATGCTGCCTGTGGACACAGCTACCCTGTGGTAGCTGGATTCTTACAGTCTCCTTGCTGAGGCAAAGAAGCAGGCTCAGACATTTTTTCCTAACTCACAATGTGTTTGAAATGTTTCTTTGGATGCTTGAAACAAAAAGGACTGTCTACTTAACCAGAACATCCCTGAGATGACTATAACCACAGACTGTTAACTTCTTCCAACACCAACATCACCACCACAGCAGCACCAACACCTACACTGCCAGCACCGCCACTGGCATCATGCTTGGCCGATGTCCGCAGCGTGGCCTCTCAGAAGCTGGAAACCAGCACATGGCGCCACATGGCACAACTCTGGGCACATCAGATGAATTTTCACTGGCTCACCATGTTGGCCTCCTGATGGCCCCCAGCTCTCCCTGGGCATCTACCATCTCCTCTCACCCCATTCCTGCTGAGATTGTAGACTCATTTCAGATTGCCACACTGAGCGACTGCGTAACCAACGGAAACATTGGGAATCTTACACATTTTTCTCAACGCTGTTGAAACTGCCATGAAAAACGTTGCATAAGACACATAAATCTGGGGCTTGATTTCATTACTCTCAGAGCATACGTTGAAGCAGGGAGGAGGTGGAGGGAGCCTTTGCAGCCAAGCCACGTGCGTGTGGTATGCAGCCCGCTGGTCCAGCATGTGGCACTGTTCTCTCAAAGACACTTTCTCGATGCTCAACCTCAAAATATGCCCTCGGCACTCAACACTTCTTCATAAACCCATTCATCCTGGCCGTCAACCTCGAGCACGGCGTCCCAGTGGGGAGGGCCATGTCTGGGGACAGTTCTGACTGTCACAGCTGGAGGGGTGCCATTGGATCTACAAAGTAGAGGTCAGGGACACTGCTCAAGACTTAGAGTGCACAGGGCAGCCCCCATCACAAAGAGCGCCCTGGCCCCAAATGTCAGCAGTGGGGGGCGGGTTTAACAAACGTAACGAACATCCAGCTGTCATCGAGAACTGGATGGGAATGGTGGACTGACTCAGTTTAGCCTGAGTCATTCTCAAGAGTGGCCCACCTCATGCCAAAGTCAAAATGCTGCCTCGGTCAAGCCAGACAGGGATGGACATCACCACTAAGGAGGGGAGGCAGATGCCGGTGCTGCAGGAAGCCTGGCTGGGCCCTGGGCTCCTTGATGGAAGGGGCCTAGAGGACCAGAGGCGACACAGGGACGCCTTGGAGTTGTGGGCTGAGCACTCGTGCACGCCCACCATTCCTGGAGAGGGCCAGTAACTGACATTAGAGCGTCAAGAGACCCACGACCCCCGAGTTTCAGAGTGAGCAGGAGTGTGAGCGTGTACTCCCTCAGCAGCTCTGGCCTACGCACCATGCACCTTCCCATCTGGTGTGGCTTGGGTCATTTCTGTTGTTTGGAGCCAGAAGATGGGCATCCTGGGTAAGAGTCCTGTGCTGTCACTTGGTCCTGCAGGTCTCTGGTCCTATCACTGGCCCGTCCCTGACTGCAGCCTGACTCACGCCCTCTCTTACACCTCTCTACCTTCCCTGCCCTTAGCCCCTAAATGTTCACAGAACAAGCACACAGGGCATGGGTCACGCCACCTATAGTGCATCTGTTGCAAACATGGAAGCTTGGGCTTGGGCTTGGGCTTGACCTATGGGCTCTAAATCGGGAGGTCAGGGCTTGGACATCTGCAGACTTAGAAAAACCCGCAGGTGACCACAGTGGTGCCCAGGCCGCAGGGCTGGGCTGCCCTGGCTCCTGGTTCCACCGTCTGAATCTGGGTATAAAGTTTCTGCATCAGTAGGTCTACGGGAGTGAGTGAGGCTCACCGCTGGGCAGCCTGGGTTCAGACACCGTCCCCATCATACTTGAGCCATGAGACAAGTCACCTCTCCTCTTATGCCTCTGTAAAACATGGGCAACAGCATCCCCTAGCACGCAGGATCGCAGTGGGCACAGAACCACATGGGTGCAGGCTGGGCACAGGGTACACTCGCAGTCAGCATTGGCTGCCCTGCTGCAAATGGGCAGCACTAAATGCAGGTCTCCCTGTGCCTGGGGCACTCACATTCTCCAGGGACGTGAGACTATGTACAGGCACCACAGCAAGGTAAAGACACAGCCACACAAGCCAGCCCCCAACAGAGGACAGAAGGAATCTCACTAGTCCGAGTGGCTGCAGGGCCACGTAGAAGTCAGCACTTCCAAAAGAGGGGAGACTTCGATGTCTCTAGTATACTGAGTCACCCCAACAGTGGCCTGGGGGTAAAGCTTTTAGTAACGGCTCCAAAGAAGAGCTTCCTCTCTGCTGATAGAGCAGGTGGGGAAAGCACGCGCAGCTTGCTCGTTGCAAAAACGCCAACGCGACTGACCTGAAAAGTGACTTAGTAATCCACCAGAGGTAAAGTCACCTAGCATATGCTGTTCAGGACTCAATCCTTGTTCGTTTTCTAAGACTGGATTAATTTTTTAATAACTAAATGTCGCTCCACACCTGCACCTGCCCACGAGGGAAGACACTCAACAAGGCCAGGGAGGGAGCTCGGTCTGTACCTTGAAGATGGAGGCATCCACTTCCTGGTTATAGTCCTGCTTGCCTGCGTGCTTCCAGGGGATCCGGAACATGCTCTTCTCGTCGTTCTCCCAGATCAGGCCCGGATACAGGCTGCTGTCGATCTGCTCGATGAGCCACTGCCGCAGCCGCCGCCCCCCGTTCCGGTCACACATCCTTGAGGAAGAAAGCACATTACACAGCAGTGAGGCTACCGTCTCTTTCAGCAAGGTGACTCGTGGACTCCCCGGCCAACGGCTGCTAACGGGAAAATCAGAGGCTGGCAACAGAGGTGGAGCTGGTGCAGGGGGAATCCCCAGTTCTGGGACTGCGGGAAACACCTGCTGTGAGCAGATGACGCTGGCCTCCCCGACCCAAAGCTAGGAGCGAAAGCCAAAGGCTCCCGGGGAAGCCTGCTCCAGGCCAGCCGGATGTCTGGCCCGCCTCCATTCTGGCTGAGTTTTCTCCAGCTTTCACCTGCTGCTCTGCATCTGGCAAATACAGCGACATCGAAGAGCAACATTCCATCCTTAGAAATCATGTCAACACTTTCAGGGACCGTGCGTGAGCACTGCTCCCACCTATTACTCTAAAGCCAGTCTGCTGCTGTGATGACTGGTCTCCTTAGCATCAGTAGGATGGGTGAGGAGGAGACCTTCAGGCTGTGGCCAGTCCTTCCCAGCTGCCGTGGTGACTACAGTGCGAGCTTGGGGATGAGGCAGCACTGGGGGACCGGCCCCATCCTTTAGCTCTGTGCGCCTCTGTGAGCCCGGCTGTAACACCAGGGGCACCGACATGCTTTATGTCATTGTTAGGGTCCGAGCTAAAGCACCTAAAACAGTGCCAGGACTCCAGAAGGCTCTCTGTATAAAGAACAGCTCTGGTTACCACCCAACCTGTCTTCCCAGGGCCGCTTATGATGCTTACGAGCGAGCAGGTCAGCTGTGGCTGCAGAAGAGAGCCAAGTGATACGGGCCAGACTCTTCCAGAAAGCACCACAATCTAGGGCCAACCCAACAACAGCATTGGAAGGTCACTGCTGCCAGGGCAGACAGCTTTCCCAAGAGCACAGAGAAGAGACCCATCATGCCATCCACTTATAGCCATCACTCACCAGAACAGGACTGGAAATCCCCTAGACAGTTGGACAGACGCCCACCCAAAAGAAAAAAAAAAAACAAGTAGCACTGTTCTTCATCCAATTAAAATGTGGCCTCTTTGAGCAATCAAGTTTGAGACAATCAGCAGTGGCAAGATATGATGTCCCCAAGAATATGCTCACATCCAGAGCCACGCTGGTCCACCAAGTGGAACAACCGCCAGCAGCCTCTGCAGTAAGTGGGTGTCCTGGAAACTCCAGGGTCCTGCAGAGGCTGTGGGGCAGGAGATGGCCTGGGGCCCAGGGACAGGAAGGGAGGCCCCTCAAGTGGCATTTTTTGAGCTTTTCCATCTAATCACCTCAGCTGCCAGTCTGTGGATTTAGAAAGGGGAATGGTGGGTGAGACAGAATTGGACTTGGGCACAGGCTCTTTCTCCAATGAGACCTGGGGGACGGCACTTGCACCCGAGGCCCCCCCAAACTCGTAACGGAGGGGAGTGCGTCTCCAGTGCTCCAGATCTCTAAAACGGCCCATGTGTCTGTAAGTCAGAAGCGAGTGATTTGGAAGAGGCACCTAGAGAGAGAAACCACACAAAACCACCAGCTCCCCCAGCAAACAACTTAGCAGGGGGCCATGCCCAGTGTCCCCTTCTACCTCCAGGAATAGGCTGCATCGGGTGGGGGCGGGCTGAGGACCCAAACACAATAGAGAGGTTTCTATCTCACGCCAACCAAACGAGTTGTTCCCACCCAACGTTTGCTTCATCCTCTTATTTCAGGGCTCTCAAACTAAGGTCGTCGGAGCTCTGGCGGCACAGTGGTTAAAGCACTCTGCTGCTAACCAAAGAGTCCACTGTTCAAATCCACCAGCTGCTCCACAGGAGAAAGATGTGGCAACCTACTTCTATAAAGATGGACACCCTTGGTAACCCCATGGGGTAGTTCTACTCTGTCCTAAAGGGTCACTATGAGTTGGGCTTGATGTGATGGCAGTGGGTTTGGGTTTTGGTTAAACTAGAGTCCCTCCTCTATGAGCCTCCTGGGTCGAAAGCAATAGTTCGTTTGCATAGGCATTTTTCTAGAAAAGGTTGACAGTTTTCCATCATAAGCCCCAAACCGTGAAGGATGGCCGCCTTGGTGATACACAGTAAAAGAAGAGAGAGAGAGAGAAGGCCATTGAGAGGAAGAGGGAAGCAGAGGCTAGAAAGCTGGGAAAAGCTTTAAAAAATAATCCCATCCAGGCCCTCTGCTCAAAAGAGGAAACACTAAGGACCAGGAGGTCCAGTAAATAGCCAAGCGCTCCCTAGACTTGTGTCAGAACTCACAGCCAGGCCCAGGCACCCTGGCCAGTTTGTTTTACTCACTAGAGAAAAGCCGTGGTTAAGTTCCAAATTCGCTGCACAGGGCTGGCCCCGTCAGAGTTCTGTTTGTGGGGACCACCGCTGTTCTAAGCAGCATCGGAAACCTAAGATTCTATTACAATTATCACCCATAATGAAGTGCTGAACACTACCAAATTAATACCGCCAAATGCCCAGCCAGGCAACTTTAATAAGCCTAGTCACAGGCTTCTAGCTTCCTCTTCCAGGAGGTTACTGTCATAATTCTTTCCTACCTGGAGTTATCTGCATCTCTATAAATGTGGGAGGCTTCCCAGGCCTACGGTGATAAGCGCTTCCATGGCCCCTGATCCAGATTCCAGAATGTGCTAAGAGCCTTGCAACAGAGTCCACCTGCTCACACAACTCCTAGGGCCCCTCACGTGCCCTGCCCCACCCCCACCCCGCTCATCAGCACTGGACCAAAAAGCATCCAGGCCTTTCTCCCTCTGGCCCCAATCTCCCTGAATGATCCCCAAAAGCCAAACCAAACCCACTCGATTCCGATTCATGGTGACCTTACAGGGCAGAGCAGAACTGCCCCATAGTGTTTTCAAGGGTGTAACCATACAGAAGCAGACTGTCAGACTGTCATGTCTTTTCTCCTGCGGGGGAGCGGCTGGGGGGATCGAACCACCAACCTTTCCGTTACAGCCAGTGCTTAACCACTGCACCCCCAGAGCTCCTCCCTGAGTGACCCAGTCATCTCCAATTCCTACCATGAAGGAACTACCATGATTCAAAAAGGCAAGCTTAGAACCATCATCACTTGACTACTGGCTCCTACCTTCAGTATTTAAAGAGGGTGGAGGACGGTAACACTGAGTAATTCGTCCCTAGTCCCGTCCATGCAAGGGCTCCGCAGCTCTGGCTCCCACCTGCGGTGGAGAGCCCTCCTTGTGCTCGGAAAGCGCTTCCGAGCAGCGCGCTCCCGTGAGCCGTGACACACGCACACGGTCGGGCCAACGGCGAGTGGCCTGCAGTGGAAGGCAAGGGCTTCCCACCGGACTCGGAATCGCTTCCACTCCTCCCGTGCAAGCGCTGGTAAAGTGCCAGTGCCTCCCGATGGCCGATCCTACCTTTGGGCAGAATTTCAGCAGGGCGATGGAGCGGCTCTTATAATAAAGGGGTCGCTATTGCCCTGTAACACGTGACCACGTGCACAAGTTCCCCAAGCACACCAGATTTTAAGAGGGAAAAAAAAAAAATTAAGCAGAAATAAAACTCTGGGGACGGCCGAAGAGTAACAAGCGATTTCGAGATGCACTTTGGTGGCCAGGGAGGTCAGGAGACTACAGAGACCAAGAAGGGACCGCAATTGAGCTGCGCCTGAGGAGATAATACGGTAGTTTAATCCTGGCGTTCCCTGGTGATGTCTGGGCGCTCGAGCAGACCTGACCGCGCGGAACGCGGGTTCTGGGCCCGCCGAGGGGCTGGGTGCCTACCTGCCGCCGGAGTGCGCCTTCCGATCCCGCGCCCACCACCTTCGTGCCGAACCCGCCGCCCGCGCTCAGGGCGAAGCGGCCGCGGGCTCCCAGAGCTCGGGCGCCGAAAGTTTAAGAGGAGGGCGTCCCCGGGCCCGCCCCCGCGCTGAGAGGCAGCCGCACCGGCCAATGGCGTGAGGAGCGGGTCCGGGCCCGCCCCGAGGGAGCGCCGCGAGCTGCCCGCGTTCTGCTAAGCGCTCTCCTTTCCGAGAAATCACTTTGCTGAGGCGGCGGCGGCGGCTCGTGGGGTCCAGGCCACTTTCCGGCTGGCCGAGCCAGGCCCCTATCCGGGGGTCCCAAGGGCGCGGGCGGGGGCTCCCCACAGGAATTCCTGTGCGGGCGGCGGCGAGGGGTGGGGGTGCCGCCGAGCGACCCGCGGGGACCGGGGCGACGTCTCCAGGACCGCGACGGGGTGGGCTGACGTCGCGGGGAGCGCGCCGCGGGTCGGGAACGGGGGCTGAGGCGAGGAACCGCCACTTCCGGCGGCTCGGACGGCCAGTCGCCCGCGAGTGACCGGGAGGGGCGGAAGCCGCTGCTGAGGGAAGATCAGAAATGACTATGAGGAGCGTCTAACATCCTGACGCTGGAATGTCCAATGAGGAGAATGTTCCTCATAAATTCTTTTCCTCAGAAAAGTGTCCGTTGTGTGAAGTCAAGGCCCCCGTGTGCCTGTGTCCCTAACTCCTGTCCTCTTGAGGGTTACTGTAAGTATGGAAGTTGCGTGGGGAGCGCGAGGGGGGTGAAAGAAACGAGAAAGTGCTGGAAGGGAAAGGAAGTGCGTTCCCATGGCCCATTCTGGGGTAGCTTGTGTGCCATGTAGTCCGTTCCAACTCAGTGCCCCGTAGGGTTTCCTAGGCTGAAGTCTTTAGGGGCGCACATTGCCAGGGCTTTTCTCCCGCAGGATAGCTGGTGGATTGAAGAAACAACGACCAGGGCTCCTTGGGGTAGCTTTACAAAAAATGAACCCACAGGACAGAATAGAACAGCCCCACAGGGTTTCCAAGGCTGTAAACCTCTAAGGAGGCACACTGCCCTCTTCTTTCTCCCTCAGAGCAGCTGGTGGGTTCCAACAACCGACCAGCAAACGCTGTGACCACTGCCTGAGGATGGAGGAAACTAGGTGGCGGCTGCCTTTAGTTTCCCGTTGGAGGGGAGCGGCAGTGTTTCTGGAGCCATTTTATTTATTGGGCTCTTCAAGGCTCTGTGAAAATGTC